TTTGTAGACTTCATCATGCACGAAAAGACTAAGAAAGCATTACATTCCCATCATCAAAAGATAACATCAATCACCTTCGCTGTTCTGGCAATGATGCTTGGCGACGCGGAGGCCCCTTACACGCAACGACGGATGTGGTCGAAGCCAATTGGAAAATTGACTGTTGGATGATCACATCCATGACTGTTAGAGAAGAAAATACATGATTGATTAGTGAGATTGATTTCAATTATTATGATTTTCTAATTTACTGATATAGATACTGCGCTCTCTACATTGATTGATGTAATTCCTTGAGATTTTTTTCTTTTACTTAGTTCAATTTTTTTTTCTTGATTTTTTGAAACTTATCTGAGTGTCTCAATTTTTTTGATACCATCTGATTAGTTTGAAAATTATGAATTTTATGATCTTATTATTATATAGTGATAAATTGATCTGCTCGACATGTATTACTAGATTATTTATAATATATTTAATATTAAATTATATTTTTATTTGATTCACATAATAGATTTTTTTTAATGTTTATCATTATATTATATTCAAAACTTTATATCTAATTATTTTTATCAAAAATAATCTTCCAGTAAGAAGTCCCGTAGGAACGAAACATGCACGTTTGTATGGCGCCTGATAAGGTGTATTTTGGGCCCAAATCATATCACAATCGATATCACGTCATGTTACAGTCAAGTCAGCAAGAGAAGTACCCCCACGTGTCGAACCATCAATCATACCAAGACGTCGCTTGGTATGTCCCGTCCCGGTAAATCCGGGACGGCGATCGCACAAAGATATCATCTCACCCCTTGGTCGTCACGTCAAATCCGCATATGACTAACTCTCGTATAGTAGTTTAAAAGCACATGACCGGCATCCGGCTTAGAGAAGAAAAAAAGAAAGAAAGAGCAAAAAGCAGAACCCCACACTGACTTACTCGTCGAGGGGCCACAGTCGACGGGGCCTTCTATGCATGAGAACAATCATCCCCAAAGCGAGATCATCTCGATCAAGAGAGATCGCCTCCCCCCGACGCACCGACCAACATCCTAGTGGAGAGCTATCGACCAACGTCTCGAACAAGAGCCATCGACTAGCTTTCCAACCTTGGCAACCAACTCAGACGATCGAAGACTCCCGACATCGATTCATGAACCAAACCGTGTCGATTCGTTAGCGACGATGCATCTGTTCACCATCAGCGCCGACGCTCCGGAATCAAGCAGGTGGCACCGCCGAATCCATGGAGTTTTATATGCATATCTCTTCCGTCAGATAAGACCTCCACTTGGGTAACATCAGACACCGGATGAAGCCCGTTGCAACTTCAACTCGTCATGGAAGATTGTGAGGCTGGCTGGTCTTATCCCCACGTAGTCTCGTCCGTCCACGTTCTTTCTCTGCTTTCTATAATATAATATGATCATCGGTATTGGTGTTGGAAGAAGAAGAAGAAGAAGAAGACGAGGTAGATGCACAGCATGTCGTGTTTTCCCTTGACTACCCTGACTTCTGTGGGGAGGAGGGATCAATTGAGTCCTTCCACCACTATATAACTCTCTTTAAAAAGGAAAATAATTTGATTATGTGATTCTGTCATCTACCTATGCATATGTGAATATAGTAGACATGACAACCAATGACAAAATTGTTTATGTAAAGAATGATCGTCACAAAATAAAGGCATCTGTATGATAGTGGCTCGACTGAATCAGTATACATATGGAAAAAGACATGATGAACGGAGACGATGATCTCTGGCCTCCTCTGCTACCCTAATTCCTTTCATGAAGAAGCTGGAGGGCCTTCTCTAGCACAGGCCTGAAGCGATTCACATTAAGCCTCACGTTTTGCTGCTTAAGATAGACGTCTCCCAGTCTAAGCCAGCCCTCCTTGTGAATGGACTCCGGGTCCTGGAACACCCGGTGGTCTCTCGGGTAGAGTTCCGTCAGGGTGCTCTCCTCTACGCTTATGTCATACTGCAAGTACCTCAGATTCATCCCCATGGCAGGATCTCCGTAGAAGTTCGTTGCTATCCAATCCAGATTACCCAGTGGCACCACCTGGATCACGATCGCGTTGGTGGGGAGGAAGAGGAAGTTGGTGAGCCCTGCGCCATGCACGCCCACCATCACGTCGCACGAGTTGACGACGTGTGCGAACCGGGCCACGTCGATGAAGTCCGGCTCCGTCGCCACCACCTCGTAGCCCACCTCCCGCGCCATGCCCACGACCTCGTCCAGGTTCACGAATCTTCTCGTCCCGCCTCTTGCTATGAACAGGAGCCGCGGCTTCGTGCCGGGAGGACCGCCGGCCGCCCACGCGCGCTCGCGCGCCAGCGAGTACGCGCTCCTCGTTAGCTTCACGAAGTCCATGATGGAGTGGCCTCGCGGGGCTCTCGAGGGGTCGATCATCAGGTCCCTCTCGGCCCTCAGCCCGACAACGACGTGGTCGAAACAGTGCACTCTCTCGTCGTTGTCGTAGTCGATCACATCATACGACGAGAGCTTCGTCAGGTACGGCCGGTACTTGTGCATCCACCACCCTTGTTGGTTGGTGATGATGAATTGGACCTGGCCGTGGAAAGGGCCGGCGGTTTGGAAGAGGGGAACCAGCACGTCGGCGAAGTCGTGGAAGCAGTTTCCGCAGTGACCGCCGGTGGAGAACAGGATGCCGGGGACTGTGTGATTGACGCTGCATTCGGGAGCTTCCTGATGGCGGCGCAGTGACGTCAAGTTCAGTGGCCGGACTTTAGCCATTGCTGAGCGGTCGTACTTGCGAGGATAGGGTCTGATCTGCCATGACTCGTTTCTTTCTCTGCTGCCCGTATGAGTAACAAGCATTACAGAGGAGAGATTCTTCCCACTGATTCTTATGTCACCTTCCATATCGCAAATGTTCAATCTATAGTCGGAGAAATCACACATTGGCTTCCTCTCAGGCGCCCCACCATCTGGAATCCAACGCAATAAATTGTTCCTGTTAGACTTGGGAAGGTAGACTAGAATCTCCGATGGCATGTCTGAACTCAGACAGACAGAGACGAGTCTTCTTCTTCTCTTGAAACAAGTCACTTGTGATCATTACTACTGGCTATCAGATTAAATGCTCGGGAACAGTGATCAAGCTTGCTTTCCATTAGCTTTGGAAAGATTAGCGTACCTGATTCATTAAAATCACCGGTAGATGGTCCGTTCAGCACTTGTGTATCGTTTTCCGTCTTGCAATCACTCGAATTTGATTCGCACGATGAGCTGATTCCCTCTTCCCCCTTTCCATCTGGTGGGTTGATGAACGAAGCGTCAATTTGCTTTGTCCTACCTAACAGTCGAATCCTTGTATCTTCTTCGACCGTAGAACTCATAGGAGCTGCATCTCCGGATGATGATGACGATGACGGCAGGCAATTCACTGCAAGAAAACCCAATGCGAGTTATGAAAATTAGAATTAGACAGAAGAAGGGAAAGCTCAAGTACAAAGAGGGGGGCTCACATATGGACAAATGGTCCATGCTTATGTCGTTTCTGGACAACATCACGAATGTCATGGACACAAGAAAGCATCCGACGATGAGTCCTGATCCGAAACTCCGAGGCTCCACCGGTGGCCGGAACTTCTTCACCAGCTTCATCCTGTAGGTGGCGCCGAGTCTTCTATCAGATGCTAAAGCACGGCATGTTCTACAAAGAGAGGCGCATAGGGAGGAGGACAAGCAGTACTGGAAGAATAGACAAGCACGCGGCGGAGCTTATAACGCAGCATAGGCCGCGGGTTGTCGTCGGTAGCATTGGTTTCCTCATGGAATATTCTAAACGTCGGTCTGCTTGACAACCTGCACATACATCTCCGAGTGGCCGAGAATCGCGTCTTGTTTGTTCTGCTGTGCTTCTTCCTCGAACGTGCTGCGTCCAACTTGTGGAAGGAGTCGAGTAGAAGACCAATCGGAGCTTGTTCCGCGTGGCCGTCACATGGATGGAAGGCTGGACGACCGGTTAGGCATGTGGAGATAGAGTGCCGGTTAGGGTAGCCCAAAGATTGAGACTTTTCCTCCGAAGAATCCCCAGCAGACTCACTAATCATGTCGGTGCAAAGAGTAAGCTAATGAGGGGTTTATCATCCAAAGCTCACTAAACATGTCGAATGAGGCCCAATTCAAAGCCCAATATTAACATAAGCAGTAGCCCGGTGACTGTCTCCCACACTAAAGCCATAAAGTTGCGACATGCAACTATGTACTAACTTTATTCGCATCTTTATCTTATTTTGTGGTTATTATTATCATCATCAACATCATATTGTCGGCTCCAATCTTTCCCCAATGATATGATATCCGAGTAAAGAATATATTCCTATACGTAAGAAAAGCTAAACTATATATGCTTTGGGCTTTCCAGTTAGTCATGAGTGGACATGATTGACCACAGATTTCGGATGCCATTCCAGCACAATGATACAGACAGCCAATGCATAACTTAATCATTTGGAAATCAATCAATCAATCAATCAATCAGGTGTGACAGTGTATGCATGAATGGGAGTGATCAAACCCACACATGCGGAATGATGGGTGGGGCTTTTGAGGCTCCCATAGGATGCCTGCTTTCTTGAAGATGGAGACATTCGCATAAGATGCCTACTTTCTTAAAGGTGGAGACCATGGGATGTTTCTGAGGTGAAAAAGTTCATTGCTAGTGTTTCTTTCTCCTTTCGATATAGTTTTTTTTCGTTGAAAGGTTAGAAATGATGTTTCTCTCTCTCTCTCTCTCTCTCTCTCTTTTGAGTGCTGTTTCTTTAGCACCTTTTTTTAGACAAAAAAGGAATTAATTCATCCAGCAGATTGTTGCCCTTCCTTCCCGAACAGAGTGATAGAAGATAAGATTTCCCCAAAGGAAATTTCTCTATTCTGTTGAGAAAAATTTTCTCTCATAATCTGTATAAATAGGAGAGGGATGTGTTAATATATTCAAGCTAAAGCTATTTCATTTCTACAATAAAACTTCTTCAATTATTGTTCTTATCTTCTATTATTTATATCACAGAATACTTCATTACGAAAAGTTGGCCATGGACATGAAGCAGAGCTTTCACCCAACTCATTCTCTCTGCTCTTGGTGAAGAAGCCCAAGGGCACGTTCCAGGAAAGGCCTAAACCTTGTCACATTAAGCCTTACATTCTGTTCTCTCAGGAAGATCCTGGCGTACGTAGCCCATCCTTGCCGGTGCAGTGACAAGGGGTCCTTGAACACTGCATGATCCCTTGGGTACAGCTCCGAGAGCGTGGTTTCCTCCTCATTGATGCTGTATTCCAGGTACTTCAGCTTCATCTGCTTCGAAGGATCCCTGAAGTGATGCCCTGCAGCCCAGTCCATGTTTCCCCACGGCACTACTTGGATCACCACTGCATCGGTAGGAAGGAAGATCATATTCGTCAGCGCCGATCCATGAACACCCATCAGCACGTCGCACGAGTTCACGATGCGCGAGAATTTGGACACGTCCGGATCCGCCTCGGTGATCACAACCTCGTATCCCACCTCCGCTGCCATCTGAACGATCTCCTCCGCGTTCACGAGTCTTCTCGTTCGGGCCCTGGTTATGATCATTAGCCTCGGCTTCTTGTCGCTCTGCTCGCCGACCCTCGACGGGTGCTCGCTCTCGAGGGAGAACACGCTTCTTGCGAACTTGGCGAAGTCGAACATGGTGTACCCGTGCGGAGATTTGGAGGGCTCCATCTGGAAGTCCTCGACGCTGCTGCATCTCAGCCCAAGAGTCACATGCTTGAAGCAACGGACTGCGTCGTCGTTGTCGTACTCGATGATCTCGTACTGCGACAGCTTCTGGAAGAACGGTCGGTACTTGTCCATCCATGGCGGATTCATATTGGCGATGAGAAACTGGACCTCCCCGCCGAAGGGGTAGGCAGTCTCGAAGAGAGGGACGAGCACGTCGGCGAAGTCATGGAAGAAGTTCCCCGTCCATCCACCGATCGCAAAAACCAGCGCAGGGACGGTGTGGTTGACGGAGCAGCGCGTGTCTTCTCCGTAACCATGGACCGATTTCAAGGTCACCTCCCGAACACGAGCACCGGAATCTGCTGCCCATTTACGGGCGTAAGGTTTGATCGTCCATGATTCACCTTCTCCGTTATCGTTTGATTGAGGTGGAGCGACGAACACCATCCTGGTGTCCTTGCCGATGATTCTGACATCGCCGTCTGCTTCACAGATATCCGATTTACTATTTGAACGATCGCACATTGGCTTCTTCTCGGCCTTCGTTCCGCCTTTGCAAAACACACAGCAGTTGACTTAGAATGGGATTGTCATGTTTTCTTTCAGACGAATAAAACGTTGGTGATCTAAACGAATAGTGCTCGATCGTCAGAGCTACAACGAATCAGTACTTAATAGGAGCCAAAATAGTGCACGAAGTGCGATGATATTAGTCGATCAATTTCTTCGAGAACACAAGAAAGAAAAGGCTGAAAGAACTCAATCTCTGCAAGAAACTCTGTTTAGCCCTTTTGGGAACAGACTTGCTCGATATGGTCAAACTTCGAAACGCAAATAGAATACCTGATTCATCGGGGCTTCCTTTTACTGGAATCTCGACGTGAACGACAGGTGAACTCTTCCCAATCTCTGCTGCCTTGGCACTGGCTGGAGCACGAATGATTCATGCGTCAATTGGATCATTCGGAAAGAAACGATCAAGCATCAAATTTTCTTTTTGAATCTTCTGATATCAACCAGAGGGCAAAAATAAGCTTAAATGAAATAGAAGAACCTTCTTGTCTAATGGAATCACCGGATGTCATGGAGGCATTAACCTTCAACACCGGTGGAAGCTGAGACCTTGCTGCAAATCAAAACCAATCAGCTAAGGAACTACAACGAGCTAATGACACCACATCTAGTTGACAAAGAGATGGTATGAACTTACCCATAGAGACGCGCATAGTGTTAGTCCTCGACATCGTCACATACATTAGCGAGACCAAAATGAACGCTGCAAGCAATCCAACGCTACAGTCTCGAGTATTCACACGGTTGAGGCTCCTAAACACCTTCGCCATCTCCTCCTTCCAACTATAGTCTGTTCTACTGCTAAGCTGACGAAGTGCTTCGCCTTTTCCTTCAAGATGGATTGAGAGGAAGCGTTCGACTGCAAACTATCGATGCCACACAACCAATCATCAGACACTCGGATGATTATTATTACTGCTTTATAATGATCCTTGGAAGGAGAGACGATCGACCATGGAGTGTTCTCGTCTTACAGCTAAAGCATTGAGATTCCAATCACATTAATTGCTATATAAACTCGATTAAAGAAAAATAAATGCAACCAAGGAAAGGCAGATAATAGAACGCGTAGTGGGCACCAACTCGTTTACTTCTTCCTCCTCGGTGCACGACGAGCTCAGTCTTTCAGCTCGCAAAAACCTATTTCTCTTTTAATATGGCGTCATGGTTGATTAGTTGGTGGCGTGTAAGGAAGTTAATTGGGATGAGAACAGTGACATGAAGACAATTCAAAGACTGGTTAGGAACTCCACATTGAAGAAGATGACTAGTCTGTTGCTAGCTAGATCAAACATATATACACATCAAAGTATGATATTTTCTAATGCAGAAAAGATGGCTGATACCCTGCTATGCATGGTCCAACAAGCTCTCGCTTTTATGCTCGTAATTGAGATTAGAATAAAGACTCGGCGTGTCAGAGGAGACTACAACTTTTAGCAAACCCTAGAGAAGAAAGCTTCCGGTGGAAGGAGACGAAGTACATATGGCATGCATGCGATTGTGCCGAGGACTGGCGTCTCAACTGGTGTTGTTGTGGGAAACAGCCTGGAGCCGTGGCCTTGGGGCCGACACGGCTCGATTCGGGTCCAGACGACGCGATGGCGTCTCTCGAGCCCGCTGAGGCGGTCGGGTGCGGCGTCCGATCGGGATGGTGTGGCTGTCTCCTTCGGGCAGGAACTCCTCGCCTGCGGGACCGACGGGGACCTTCGGCTTCGCACCTGCACAAAGGTTGGGTCGGAGTGCTCGGCCCGACCCCTTCGACGATCAAGTTAGAAGATGTGGAGGGGGTTTCGGGAGAAGAAGTGTTTTTTGTATGTCCGTCCCCCCCGCTCATTCAGAGTGCGAGGGTATTTATAGGGAGGCTTACTGTTTCCTGATGTGCCCGCTTGTAGGGGGCAGGCTGGTTGCGTCTGACATTGGTTTGGCGTGGCGTGAATAATCGAGCCTGAGTAGGTGTTAATGAGTCTCGGCCTATGTTCCGGTCCGTTTGATCGGGTGCCGTCGCGTCGTTCGAGGCGTGAGACGTCATCTGACGTCAGTCGGGTCTTATCATAATTACTATCCTCATCCGGTGTTGCTTTTTAAGGGCCTTTATGAATGCATTTGGTTGTCACTTTCTTTGAGGTCGCGTCGAAATCATCCACAGCAGATCGTTAAACAGTGATTTAGGAGTTTCACTTAGTCTTGAGTTTGGATTCATTGAACGAATGATTGCAGTACAATGGACTCATCTAAAGTAAGCTAAACGCAGAAGATACAGGACATTGAGTCCGGTCACATTTGCTGTCGATAATTTTAATGAATAACTTGGAACAGTAAGTAAACTCATCAACTATTCTTCGAAATAAAGGAAAATAAAAGAGCTTGATTCTTCATACAGAACCTCCGACCATCTCATTCCCTCGGCTGTTCCTTGAGGATGTGAAGGGCATGTTCCAGGAAAGGGCGGAACCTTCTCACGTCGAGCTTCACATTCTGTTCTTTGAGGAAGATCCTGGAGAAGGTGTCCCAATCTGCGTTCTGAGGGTGCAGCGACATGGGATCCTTGAACACAGCGTGGTCTCTTGGGTACAGCGCGGTGAGAGTGGTTTCCTCCTCGTTGATGCTGTATTCCAGGTAGTTCAGCTTCATCTGCTTGGAAGGCTCCCTGAAGTAATGGCCGGCGATCCAGTCCAGATTACCCCATGGCACGACTTGGATCACCACAGAGTTGGTGGGAAGGAACACCATATTTGTCAGCGCCGATCCGTGGACGCCCATCATCACGTCGCACGAGTTCACGAGCCTCGAGAACTTAGAGATATCAGGATCTCCCTCGGCCACCACCACCTCATAGCCCACCTCTTCCGCCATCCGAACGATCTCCTCCACGTTCATGAATCGTCTTGTTTGGGCCCTGGTTATGATCATCAGTCTCGGCTTCTTGTCGGTCTTGTCGCCCACCCTCAACGGGTGGGATCTCTCGAGCGAGAAAACGCTTCTGGTGAACTTTGCGAAGTCGAACATGGTGTACCCGTGCGGAGACTTGGAGGGCTCCATCTGGAAGTCCTCGGCGCTGGTGCACCTCAGACCCAGAGTCACATGCCTGAAGCAACGGACGGTGTCGTCGTTGTCGTACTCGATGATCTCATACCGCGACAGCTTCCGGAAGAACGGTCGGTACTTGTCCATCCATGGCGGATACATATTGGCGATGAGAAACTGGACCTCCCCGCCGAAAGGGTGGGCGGTCTCAAACAGAGGGACGAGGACGTCGACGAAGTCGTGGAAGTAGTTGCCGGTCCATCCACCAACTGCGAAAACCATGGCGGGGACGGTGTGGTTGACGGAGCAGCGCCTGTCTTCTCCGTGGCCATGGACTAGTTTCAAGGTCACCTCCCGAACACGGGCGCCGGATCCGGGATCCCATTTGCGAGCGTAAGGCTTGATCGTCCATGATTCGCCTCCTTGGGCATCCACGGATCCAGGAGGGGCGACATACACCATCCGGGTATCCTTGCCGATGATTCTGACATCGCCGTCCGCTTCACAGATGTCGGATTTCCTGTTCGATAGATCGCACATTGGCCTCTTCTCAGCCTTCACAAATTCACCTGCTCCACCTTTGCAAGACATGTAACGTTTTGATTCAGAATTTGAAGCTCAAACTACAAATCAAACTATTACTCCTCAAAAACCAAAAGAACACACAATCTAAAATGTGCTTCATACTTTGGGAACTAACAAAAGCCATCGAGCTCGTTTTCTGTGAGGTTTCTTCTTCTGTATGAGGAATCCCATTCAAGATTAGATGGGGATCTAAACAACCAGGCTTCATCTTCCTTCACAATAGATTCGTTTCACAAATCTTGCGCAGGTGATTCGAGCGACTGGCCCAGAATCGATCCATAGATATATGTGCATCGTGGGGAGTCTACTGGAAAGTCACAAGAGAGCAGAGGTGCCATAAAACTGGAAAATAAGATCTTCAACTCCTTCAAGACAGGATAGAAAAGGCTTAGAGAATGATTTTTGTGAAAGAAAAAGGTTGGCTTTGGGTACTTTCTGAACAATCATTTGGTGTAGAAATCGGAAGAAGATCTCCCGAGAAGGAACAGATTTCTAAACAAACCTAAAGGAACAAAAGAAAAAAGAGGAAGAGAGGGATCAGAAATAGGATGTTTTCCCAAGAAAGAGAGAAATTTGGGAGGATCTTTCTGCCCCAAAAGTAAAAGACAAAACAAATGGGAAGATCTGAGGCTTCAGAATCCTTTAGCCCCAAAAAATTCGGATCTCGTCGAGGTGGAGTTCACGTTCAACAACGGTCGAAGCTGCGAAGTTGCTGCTAGATCGATAAGCTAGGAGAAGTCGGGATGAGCTGATGGCAAATCTAGCTGACCAAAGAAGCAGTGACTTACCGACAGAGAAGCGCATTCCAGTAGTCCTCGACATCGTGACGTAGGTCAGCGCCACCAGACCGACCACTGCAAGCAATCCAATCCCATAGTTTTGAGGCTTTGCACGGTTCAGATTCCTGAACCCCTTTGCCATCTCCTCTCCTCCTTCCAGCGACACTCTCGCCCTCTGTTTTTCTCTCACCGGTGCTTCATCCCTTCTTTACGGATGTTAGGCACAAGCTGCAAAGCTCTGAATGGACCTAACCGGAGCAGAAAGAACTGAGTGGAGAAGGAAGAGAAAACTTGTGGAACTCTCCAAGAGGAAAAGAACACAGAGCCGATGGAGCTCCGAAGTGGTGACCACTACAGTAAGCTCACGTTTCACAGATAATTTTTACTGCCGATTGCCGGTTTATATTGATTTCTGATATAAATTTATTTCACAAGACAATAAAGCGTCAGCCTCATAGTTTGCGTCTTAGACATGCCGACACGTTTGCTTCCACATTGTGTTGACGCGGAGGATGCGCTGTAATTTTCAATTTACGTGGCGGCTTAGAATTCCTTTTATTTTCTTCCAGCCATTATGGCGTCATCGTTCATTAGACTTGAGGCAAATGGGGGACAGGGCAGGTTGGAAGAGGTCATGAAAGTTAGGTCATGCGGAAAATTCCAAGAACAAACCGAGACCTCCACAATACCATACGTTGTCAGGTCAATGAATCCAAGCTTACTTTAGCCAAAGTTTTCCCTTTCTTTTATTCTCTTTAAGCGAAAAAGGATCGTGAGGATTCCCTGCCACAGTGTATCCAGCAAATTGTCACTTTCCATGCACCAAATTGAGATTGATTACAGAGCAGAAAGGGGAAAAGGAGAAAGAGAAGTCGTCTTTGGAGGCAACCGAGGTAGGATTCCAATGTGCTACAGAGGTGAGTGAGGCTCTCTCGATCAAGATAGGGAGTATCAGATGCATGCATTATTGCTTACGGATGATTCCACTGATTGTTCTACTTTTTAGCAGACTTTAACGAATGCATTTAGGCTGGCCAATGATTTCCCCGAGTGGTGTTACTGATCAGAAATAATATGCATTAGACTCTTTAAACTGCTGCAAGTTCTGAGTTAGGCCACAGCCAAGAACATGTAGAAAATTTTCTGCTCAGAAACATGTAATTGACATTTTGAGGAGAGACAGCAAAAGATAGTTTGGGAGAAGGGATCGCAATCCACATTAATATTCCTTGTTTTCGTAAGATAAAACAAATTCAGAAGTGATGCAACCACTGGTAGCAAGTAATTGATCATCAAAAAGAAGAAGAAAAAGAAAAGCTTTGTTCCTATCGACGGAGAAGATCCATGGCTTTCTGCAAGACGGGCCTGAACCTGTTCACGTCAAGCTTCACATCTTGTTTGCGCAGGTATATCTTCTCCATGTCCATCCACCCTAGCTTGTGGATCGACTGTGGGTCCGTAAACACAGCGTGGTCTCTGGGATACAACTGTAGCAGAGTGCTCTCGTCGACGGTAATGTTGTACTCCAAGTAGTGAAGCCTCGCTGCCATGGATGGGAATCCAAAGGTGTGCGTGGCCATGGCTTCCAGCTCGCAGCAAGGAACTATCTGTACCAACACAGCGTTCATCGGCAGGAACACAAAGTTGGTGAGCCCGGCACCGTGCACACCCATGATCACATCACAGGAGTTCACCATACCGACAAAGCCGGCGACGTCCCCGAAACTTGCGTCTTCATCCACCACCTCGTAGTTCAACCCCTTCGCCATCGCAACAATCTCCGGAACGTTTGTGAACCTTCGACTCCCTTTCCTCGTTACGAGGAGGAGCTTCGGCTTCCTGTCGGGCTGTTCCCTCAAGCTGATGGCGTACTCTCTCTCCAGGGAGTATGCGGACCTCACGAACTTGGTGAAGTCGGTCATCGAGTACCCGTTGGGAGCTCGTGCAGGATCAATCATCAGGTCATTGTGGAAGCGGAGGCCAACCATCACATGTGGGTGGCAGAGGACTTCATCGCTGTTGTCGAGATCGACGAACTCGTACCGGGTGAGCCTCTTAATGATCTGTTGGTATTTGCCGAACCACCACATTTGGACGTTGGTGACCAGGAACTGGACTTCTCCGTCGAATTGCCTTGCGGTCATGAACAGAGGGAGCAGTGTATCGGTGAAATCGTGGTAGTAGTTTCCGATGAATCCACCGAGTGTGAACACAATGGCAGGGACGGTTTGATTGATGGTGCAGCTGGGGACTCCTTCCGGACTGCTTGCTGTTCTTACTGAGACTTTCTCGATGTTTTCCATTTGCTTCCGAACGTATGGCATAATCTTCCATTCGTTGCTTTGTTGCTGAGGAGAAACAAACACCACAGAGGAAGGCTTGCCGTGGATTCGAACATCACCTTTCATCTCACAGAACTCTGTTCTCGGGTTCGAAAAATCGCATATTGGCTCCGCCGGGGGCTTCATCATCTGAATCCTCTCACCATCGCTTCTTTCAGCAGCAATCAAAACCTCATCTAAAAACATCAGTTTCATATTAGATGTTCATGTCTTAAATAGCTCGCTTTTCTTGATTGATTGTGAAACAGATGACTCCGATTTAGTAACGCGAGGAAGCTTACTCGGTTTATTGGTTTCTGTCGGTTCTTCCTTCGCAGTTGCGTGGGTAATAGTAGAAGAACTGTCGTCATGGACCCTCTCCTCTGCACTAGTTTCATGCGCATCCTCCGTCTTCTTTTCTCTTTCTGTGAGATACAGGAAAAAGGGCCTCATTCGAGCTGATCTATATGTCCTAAAACTGCAAAAGAACTCCAGAAAACGATTTCACACGACGAGGACTTGCATCGAGTTCATAACATGGTGTTCTCCCAGAAACAGGGATCCCCCACTTAGTTTCTTTCTCAGCTTGTTCTCTCCCCAACACCAAGTTTCTCAGGGAACTCAGTGGCAAACTAGAAGTCGAAGCTAAAAGGGTTCGACCAACGATTGAGTACTCTCCGGATTCTCCCTTCGAAAGGACGTTTGTGCTTCGTTGACGATGATTTTTGCGGATTCTGGAAACAGCGACATTACCAACAGAACTAGAAAAGCCCAATCTACTGTACCGACCAAGTGACAGGTTTTGTGGTCGCAGAAATTAGCAAGCTAATAAGCAGTACAGCTTTCTTACCTGGCTTTTGTAAGCTCAACATTTGTTCTTCCACCTCTTCGTCGGCGCCGACCCCGAAGGCTTCAGATGGCTGCTGATCAACTGCAGAACAAGAAAGACGCAAGATTCTAAGGCGATGCTGCTCCCTCCAAATACTCTCACTTGTAGTCATAAAAAGCTGCAAAGAACTCAGGCAACAGAGACTCACCGGTGGTCTCGGACATGGAAATGAAATATGTCAGTATGACAAGGCAGCATCCTGCCAGCAACGCCACGCTGAGCTTCCGTGCTTCGATCCGGCTCATGTTCCTCGCTACGGTCTTGTCGTACCCCATCCTCTGGGTCTCGCCAAGTCTGGAAGTTTCAGTACACAGAGAAAGAGAGAGAGAGAGAGAGAGAGAGAGAGAGCCGTGTGGAAGTGGGTGCAGACGAAGATGCGAAAGCCTGCTTGAGAAGAGTTTGCAGTGGAATTGATTTATGACCTCCCTCTCTAGCTGACCTTAACTCTCCTTCCTCCTCCTCCTCTTCGTCTCGACCTTGCTTTAAATATAATTTCTTAAAGGATATAGTGTTCTTAGTGGACTTCTTTTTTCCCATTTTTCTTTCGAAAAAAGAACGAAATTTTCAGTAACTATTCCTCTTGCCAATGTCATGTCATTACCGACTGCTTTCCCCACAAAGATCTCATTAATGAGCTTCTGAATGTAGATAAATATTGAATGATCATATGCCTCATACTAAAAATACGAAGCCGAGAGTAAGCAGTGTGAATCCTCCGAACAGTCGAATCTGGCATGACTTTGCATGCTAAGTGTGGTACAACCTACCTTCTTCGCAATGTTCGGCAACATCTGCCGTCAAATGCGTACCAACTCACATTCTATGATCAAAACGAGTATTGAATGACAGATGAGCGCATGGATCCAAATGAGAGCATTTGTCCTCGTCTTTCGAGTCTTTGCAGTGCACCCTCCCCCGAGTACAAGGCCACTACAAGACACTCATGCCGATAAATCGGTGCAAGTTCACAGAAGAACATCACATTGTCTCCATTTTGTTCTTAATGGAGCTCGTAACTGTGGCGAGATAGAGACAGCGCCAATGGACATGAAACAAACGGCCGGCAATGGATTCCGAGGAATGTTAGATGCAGGTTAAATATCAGATCTCGAAGAACACGACAGCAAACTCAATATCAGAGTAACCATGCTCGACACAAGTCATACTGCACATTTAACTTGGGTTTGTTTTCATTGCCATCGGTTGTAGTTTGGAGTCTTCCGATACGGCCAAAGACCTTCCAATAATTGAAGGATCATCGCATTCTCTTTTCTCTGTTCTTCTTCCTTCGTTTCCTCCCTTGTCTCGTTGTCATCGAAAAATATGATGAAAGGTACAGTTAATGTACCATTTCTGATGATACTCCCACCATCCACTTCTCATTTTAGCTCCTAGCTCTCGAATCGGTCCCCTTCCAAGAAATGGTCCTTTAGATTCCAGGACAGTGGGGTGCATATGCATCCATCCATCCCCTGTTGCGGCAGGGATGTCCCAAGAGACACAGTATGCTCATTTTCCTTGTTACCACCATTACCGAGCTCTGGCCTTCACATGCAGACTGCCGGCACAGGAAAACAACACATTGCCTCAATTTCAGCGGTCCAATTGGAAGTGGTACGCAAGTTGGGATTTGTCGAACTTTGAAATGGCTGGTATGGGTGAAGAAAATGTGGCTTCATTCGGAGCATATAGCATCTCCGTCTGCCATCATTGACTCATCTTCTGGACTGCTTGTCATCGTCGAAATGGTTTCACAGCATGAGGATCAGGTTTTCCGACTGAAAAGTCATCAAAGTATGCTGTGACAGCTAGAACTTGTGGTCTCATACAGAAGGATCCAATAAGGAATCTCTGCTCATAAATTCTACAGCCATTTAATTGTTCCAACAACTCGTTGAAATCGTGTAGGATGATGATCGATTTGAAGGTATTGCATCTATTATGTGTATCCACCATAAACTAGTTTGCCCGGATCCGTAGTTTGCTTGGACACTTTCTCCATGTCTCTGCACAGAGGTGCTTCTTCGACTTTTCCGGAACCCAAAAACGCAATCAAAACACACACACACACCAGAAATAAGAATGTTTTCGTGCCATACTTTGTTCGGCGTAAAAGATTTCCCAAGTTTGGCAGCTGTTCGGCTTGTGTTTGTGTAATGAGGTCAAAGGGCTCAACTGTACCCCAACAATGGAACTGAGTTTTTATCCTGCACGTCTTTCACTCTTCTCTGTTTCTTCTCTCTTTTCGAAAGCAAAGGTGGTGATCCACTCTGTTTCTACATGGGTTTTTATCGAGTAGAAACATCGACTGGGGTCTCTGTGTCAACCAGAGGACATGTGATGGGATCACCTTCTTCCAGGAAATCAATAATGGCTATAGAATACTATCACACAACATGCTGGCTGCTGAGTCTCGAGGGATTTGAAATTGTAGCCCACCCAGGTTGTCTTCATTCAGCTCTGAAGCTACGTTCATAAAATATGAATTGATAATATGCTGAAGGATCGCACCTAACTCACCAGAAAACAGTGCAGATTTGTTGTTTTCCATGGCAGGACTGAGACTCGTATGCATGCAGGGACAGAAATGGGATCATCTGCACTCTATTCCAGGCATCTGATGCGTATTCAATTCATCTTTTGATGCTTAGAAACGCAAATACGTTCTTAGCAAGGGTATTGATACTGGCAATGATATGAGGTGATTTATTGACATCTTGTTGCATGTAAAAACCAATCGGATGCCACAATACAGTGATTCACAAACAAGAGATCGATGCGAGAAGTGAAAACTGAAATCAAGAAACAAGACCGTGCTCAAGTTTTTTTTTCTCAAGAACAAGTAACTGCAAAAATGAGTTTGTCTCGGAACATTTATGCATGCTCTGTTTCTTGCTTAATCAAGAAGGAGCAAGTGATTCATGCTCATGTTTTTCTCAAGAACAAATCACTGCAAAAAGGACTGACCTCGGAATATATATGCACTCTCATGAACTGTAAAATTTCAAGTTCCTTTTTGTTGATATATTATCATGCAAAACCAAGCAACTTAACTTCTGTTTGTGAATGCTGAGAAAATTTGTCATGTCTGAGTGCCTCTCCAAATGGACCAGAAAAATTCAGACTCTAAACAGGTTCTTATATGTACATCAGGAACTTCAAATTCAGCCCGAACCTCATAGCGAAAGGTGAGATACTGCAGTAAGTTGATTTGAGAAGACAACTACAAGTCGATCCGATCACACTATCCTCCTACTCATGAAGAAGTTCGAGAGCATGCGTGAGGACACTTCTGAATCTGCCAACATCAAGCTTCACATCTTGATTGAAAAAGTATATTGAGGTCCAATTGCGCCAACCATCCTTCTGATCCAGAACGACTTTTGGGTTTGTAACCACTGGATCGGTTATACCATACCGGCCTACTAGTGAGCTCTCCGTGATGCTTATGCTATACTGCAAGTACCTCATCTTCATCTCTAAAGTGGGCACTCCATAGTCAGCCCAACAAAATGTCTCCAATCCACCCAAAGGAACAACCTGGATCACTACCGCATTGGTTGGGAGGAATATAAGATTGGTTAGCCCAGCACCATGCACTCCCAGCATTGCATCACATGAGTTCACTGTATGTGCAAATTCCACCAAACTTTGATTTTCCTTAATCTCTGATACGACAGGTTCAAAGCCCTCCCATTCTGCCATTCGAGCTATCTCATCAACGTTGGTGAACTTTCTCGTCCTCTTCCTTGAAATAATCAAAAGTCTAGGCTTCTTATCTTGATTTGCTCCCAGCTTAATTGCTCTCTCCTTCTTCAGTGAGTAAGTGCTTCTTATAAATTGTCCAAAATCAAACATTGTAACACCACCGGATCTTGCAGGATCAATACTCATGTCCCTGTGGAATGTAATGCCGACAATAACACGAGGATAGCAACGAACCAGAGGATCCCTGTTGAAATCAATGATCTCATAATGAGACAACTTCTTTAGTAATAGTTCGTATTTTGTAATCCACCATGGGAGCATGTCACTTATAAGAAACTGAACTTCCCCATTGAATTTATGCGACGTTATGTATAGGGGGATTATCAGATCAGTGGTTTCATGGAAGAAGTTGCCCATATAACCACCAGTCGCAAAGATGATTGCTGGAACTGAGCTCTTGATGTCACATTTCGGAACATCTTCATTGTTACTCAAATAGCCTACTGACATTTCAGTAACACGAGATAATGCAGCAAGATCTCCCTTCCGAGGATGAGGCTTTACCCGCCATGATTCCTGCAGTTCTGTAGTGTTCCGATTTGAGGAAGTTATAAAGAAGATGGAGGAAGAGTTTGCATGGATCCTGATATCACCCTCCATGTCACAAATATCTGCTCTTCTGTCAGAAGTGTCACACAAGGGCTTTCTCTGTAAATTCTCATTTTGGTTCACTATGTCTGCAAATGAAAGTTAGGAGTTAAAATTCGATTGAAAAAGCTTGCCAGAAGACTTTGCATAACAAATTCAGTTCTGATGTTATTATGTCAATCACCATTTAATGAGTCCTACGAGTATTTAGCTTGTTGAATAGCTTTCCAACATTTGTACTTCTCTTCATACTTCAGCTAAAGATAAATTAATAGTATCAAAAAAATGAAATCGTGTTATTGCCCTTTTTGTTTGACCATTGCTATATACATATGAGAACATAAAGCTTTTGTAGTATTGTAGATTTATCTCCTCCGTAGTCCATTCTACGCCATCAACTCAATTGATTTTTTTGCAAATTCTATTGTGGTGCTTGCCTTGTGCCTATATTGCATCTTTGTTTCCTCAGCTTAACTGGTAGGTATGCCAAAACGTCCATCATTTAAATAAAAGTTTTTTCCAAGAGGACTGATGAGCTCATTAAATTAGCATAAAACAGAGAAGATTCCAAGGACACATTCTCAAATGCATTATACAAAGAGTTGTGATTGCTTATAAACTCCAGTAATGGAGCCAAAACAAAGCACCCATTTTGTCTTTAAGCTGAATTCAACACGGTAAAAGGTGTGATCCTAATTCAGTTCTAATATTCTCTTTATCAGATATGATCAAAGATACATAAAACTAACATATCCGGATCCTCCTACCAAATCGTTTCGGTTCTTGCTTAAAGTCAGCGTCTATCTGGATCTTGCTTGTATTAAAACCTTATGAAGCACCCTGATTTCTGGTACTTCCTGGTCTTCATTGCAAACCAAGGTTCTGTTAAGCCTAAATAGGTTCATGCTAAAAATGGCCTCAATCGGCCATGGATGTTCAAAGAACATGCGTTTTTCTACACTCTGTGTTTGAAATTTCTACCAATGCAAGTGAAAAATGTTCATCTTTGAAGTTCACTTTCACACTAGAAAGCAGCATTGAGCAATCATCAAGCTCAGTCAGATGTGCTTGGAAATTTGCCATTTCTAAAATGGAAAGAATTCCTTAGAAT